TCAAAAAGATAACGACGTTACTTTTTTGACGTTATTTCTCATAGTATTTACTTCCCAGTGTTTTATTATTTGTTTTAGAAATTGTCATATTTTGGGATATGATTGGTTCTAATAAATTTTATATGATGATTCTAATGAATTTTTAATGTTCAAAAAAAAATCATATTAAAAAAATTATCCCACCCCCCTCCCCATAGAAAATTTATGCAACGTGTCTGGCATTAATTCTAACTGCCTATTCTTCCAATATTATCACATTCATAAAAAATACCTGCATTTAGAAAGAAAGTAACTATGACTGAAGGGTCCCCTTATCAGTATTCTTAAATTCGCGGCTAAGAATACGAAAATACAACATATTTTATATAACTCATCGGAAATTTCCGCTAACTATAAATGAGGGACTATGATTGTTTTTAATAAAGTTAAGAAAATTAATATTTATAATATTCACTTAATTCTGAAACCATAGTGTCATCGATGATAAACTTACGGTTATCGATTTTAATTTTATCATGAAAACATAAAAAAATTAAGATGGCTTGGCAAATATCTGTGGAAAAAGCCAAATTTAGATTTTTAACGTTGAAGATATGTATTGAGATCAATTTTTTTTTTAAAAAATATAATTTATTAAATTAGTAAAAGGAGTTTTCGAAATTGATGCACAAAATTATTAGCAGTATCAGAAGCATCTTTATCATTTAACCTAATAGTTTTCAACTTTTAATTATATCCTCAAGTGCTTTAAGAAAGCCAGTTACATTTTTTTATAACTTTATAAATGTTCCATTTTTACAGAAAATATGAAATTAGATAAAATGCCAAGATTCAATATAAATTGCTTGGACAACATTTAAAATAATAGGGTATACTATTTTATCAAAAAATTTCAAAAGTTATGCTACAAATTTTCTTGGATAATATAATTCATTATGCAAATTCTTTCATCAACACTTAATTGGCTTAACACTGGAAATCCTATTTTCCATCAGCATTATATTTTTCATCTTAATCAACTATTTTTATTTTATTTTATGCTTTATTTATGGATTTACTTATCATTTACATTTACTATAGATATATCTAAAAATACATTAGATAACTTTGAAATCAATAATAGCAACTGGTCATAATGTCAAAGCGTCTATTAAAAGAAAATAAAAGTTATTGTATAATTGAAGAAAACTTGAATATCAAAATTGTAAAGGTAATTGAAATGTTTAAATTTTAATCATATAAAATGACAATTATGAAATTTTAGTATTTAAAGTTAACTTAGTAACGTAGGAATATATTGAAATATACTATTTATACATTATGAATTATTATATTAGTCAATTAGCTATGGTTATAATGATTATATATATTATTTATGATAAAAAATATAATAGTGGGTGAGGTTAACTACCTAGCACTGATAGCATCTATTATAATGTGATTACTGGATCTATATATATTGTTATCTTATTTTATTAAAAAGAGTTATGAATTCTCCTATGTTATCTGATATGTGAAATTATTTGAAATATTACAATTAGTATGATAATGATATCCAAAAAAAATAATTAATAAATAAAAGTTTTATAATTTTATATTTTTGTTTGATTTTTTTAACGTTAGTTTTTTTTATTTTATAATATAATGATTATCGAGTAACTATATTTTAATAAATTAATTAGTTATCCTCAATTCTTGATCTTAATAATTATTAATTACATTTGGAGAATATCTCTCATTCAAAACTTCGAGTTTTACACATACTACTAATGAATTTGTGTAAATAAATGAAACATTTTATTTTGTTAATCACAAATATCAATTATAACAAAAATTAAATAATTATAATTTTTTGTGTATATTTAATAAAATTCTACTGCCTAAATATTCATTTTAATATAATTGGTATGGCTATTATATTGATAAAAGTTTTAAGCCTGTTTTGAATTTAATAAAGATCTTACTTAACCCGCATGCATGATCTATTGTACAAGTAAAATCAAGTATTAAATAATTAATATTAACTTTACCTTAGCAAAATGTAGTATATTATTAAAAATATTATTCGATTCTATATAAATACCCAATTTTGAAAACTTCTTTTTGTAAAAAAAAAGGAAACGCTATTTTCTTGATATTATAATGAAGTACAAAATATTAAAACATATAATATCGCAACAGCAAAGCATTTACCTTTGTTACGGAGTATCCAGGGTTCGATACTGGTAGGTGGCAAAAAATTAGCCATTTTATTATTTTAAAATTATAGGAATTACGGAGATTATATATTAGATAAAGACAAGCATATTTTTTATTCCTAAAATATAAATGATAAATTCTAAGGTTAAGAATAATTATATATATTTATTAACTTAGGTATTGATTGTCATAGTTGAATGTAAACATTTGTAAAATCATCGTGTGTTGGAATTATTAAATTATATTTTATATTTAGATTTATAAAATTTGATTTTTTGTGAAATCCTTATGTATTGCGATTTTTGAGTTATTTTATTTTATTTTTATTTTATATAATTTAATTTTTAGTTTATAATTATCATTTCAACTGTGATTATGATATTTATCATTTTTAAAAAATATATTTTTAACTTATTATTGTTTTGGATTATTTTTTTAAGAGTAATAATAGCTTTCCTATAATGGAAGCAACTTGAAATGTAAAATTCATTTTTTTTCCTTTTTAAATTTATTATGATAATTTATTTAATAAAGTTTATCGTTATTAAAATCTTCGTGTATTTGTTTTGGGAAGTACATTCTAGAGCAAGGACAACCCAATAGTTACTTCGCCATATATAAATAAAAAAATAATCCAAAAATAGTTACCAATAGTCATCAATTAAAAAATGATTATTAATAATCTATAAAAGAGTAAGAATATCAAGTTTAACCCGGCTTGCAGACCTTTTTATAGGTTGGGTTCTGGTGATAAATTTTTCAGTAGTCGTTTAAGGTAGTTTTGATAATGGTTAACACCGGTTTAACAGTTCGGGCTAGATTCCTGCCAACAATGTGAATATACTATTTTATTTTATGTTGATAATATTAATTAAAAGATCAACAATTTATTTTATTCTGAATATTAATTTACAGCCTAATCTGAATGTATAAATTTTATTATATTATATATATATATAATATAAAACCAAAATGAATATAAAACCAAAATGAATATAAATCAAGTAAAATTTATTACATCTCTGAAAAATACTAAACCCCCCCCCCCTCTCTTTCCTTTTTTCACTAGCGCCTTTCTTTGAGAAAGGCATAATAAAACTTTTATTTGCTGTACTTTTTCTTTTATGAATTCTTATGTTTATAAAATAAACCTAATTATATATATTAAGATATATATTATATAAATTTAGTATATATTCTCTAAGGAAATCTTTAAGTCTATCCCGTAAATTTCTTCCATTAATATTGTTATTCCATTCCTTTGAGACCTAATTATTAATTCAATGGCTGAACTCACTTTTGTAGTATATATATTTGTTTATTCCCTTGTGTAATTCAAATTTTGATATAATATATATATTTACATTATAACTTCATAAATTGTATAATTTTTTGATAAAATATTATCAAAAGTCTTGATTTAAAATGTATCAAGATTTTTCTGAAAATTTAAGTGTCATTAAATTTAAATATTGAGTGTCATTAATTTACAAAATTTCAAATTATGAATGACAAAATTTTTTTAAATGAGCTGCTTTTATTAGTCTTTTCCTAAAAATAAAAACTGAAATCCTAAAAAAATTTTTTAATTTGAGAACAGAAAAAATACTGAATACTTGGAATCATTTCTTATGTTCAGTTAAAAACTAAAAACTTAAAAAAATATATTATATACATTCTTGTGAAATATAGATAAAAAATGATCAGATTTAAAAATAATATGCTCAAAAATACAATTAAGACTAAGAAATATGTTTTTTCTTAGGACAACAAATTAAAATCTAGACCGAACAAAATATGATGAATGCCAAGACAAATTCATAAATCCTCAATTTTTAAATTTTATATCAATAAATTTTAATTTAAAAATATATGTTTCCTATCTAACAGAATACGCCCAAAATTATGAATGCCCATAACCAAGAATATTACAAAGTGTGAAAAATTAATACAATGTTGGTTGTTAGGGATTCGAACGATAACGAATGTGGTTCGGTTTAGGTTCAAATAGAAATAAAGATATAAAAGGTTCGGTTCGTAAAGAAAAATAATATCAATTTATACCGCCCAGATAAATATCATAAGAATAACCAAAATTATGTTAAATCTTAAATCCTCCTTTCCCGTTTAATTTTAGACGAGAAAACTAAATAAAATTATAAAAGTTTAAAAAAAACAACATACTTATAATATGGTAAATTGGTCCACCAAAGAAATCGGTATAAATATTGGTTAATTTTTTTTTGTTAAATTTTTTATTGATATTACACATTTGATAAATAAAATTGAGATTTAAAGAAATAGTTGTATATTGACCAAAAAAATTTAAATAATTCATTTATAAATCAATAACTATATTTTATCTAGAGTATATAAGGTCAAATAAAAATACAATTAATATAATTTTAATTAGTTAATAATTTAAAAAAACTAGGGGAGACTGGGGTTAGGTGAACCTATTTTAACAAAATTGTTTATAGCTCCTGGGTTTTTTTAGATAATATAAAAAGCAATATATGATTGGATACCTAAAACTATACTCTATAAAGGTCTTATAAAAAAATTCTAGAATATAATCATTTTTTGAAATTTTATTTTTTTGTAAAAGTCGTAAATTTGCCCAACAAGCCCCAATAGCGGGGTGAGGCAAACCACTTCAAGGGGCTTCCTAAACCAATGGTTTTTTTAGGCCATAATAAATTGAAATGTATTTTTATTTATTAATAATGATACATATACTATAATTTAATTCTTTCATTGTTAAAAATATCATAATACATATAAATTGAAGCTAATTATATATAAAAATTGAAACTTAATTTCATTTTGGACATATAAAAAATTTATCAAAATTAGCACATGTACCATATGCCCATTCGTGGCACATTCTGCACTGGTACCACTTTTCACCATTATGATGTTTGATATATTCCAGCTTACAACAAACACAAATATCTTTGTGAATAATTTTTTTCACTATTTTTCTCTTGTTAATATTTTCTTTTTCCATTATTTTCTTTTCTTTCTCAATTAATTTCTTTTTATAAGGAGATGATGTAAATATCTCTGCTCTCCTTTTAACTCTCTTGACAGTCATGGCCAGCCATTGAATTGTCCTTCCAAGATTTAGGAAATTTTTTCTTCATATTTACTGCCATTTGGTAGGCTAATATTTTTATCTAAAAAACAATATAAAATAATGAAGAATAAACTATACCTTTTTAATTGAAAGGCCATAAAAAATTTGGCTAGATTGAATCAGATATTTACTTATATCTCCCTCTTCTTCTTCTGTGAATATCCTCTTTTTATTATTTTGTCCTACACTAGTAAGTATGCCACTTTCTTGATATCTCTTATAATATCTCATAAAGTTTGATCTAGGAATACCTAAAATAAAAATGTCAAGTAAAATATATAATTATTTAATTATAAGTTTAACATTTAAGAACATAAAATTTAAAAATGATAATCTCTTTACCATTACCATTTAGATTTTATTCATATTCTCTATTATTAAATATTGCTAATATTTGATTTTAATGTTTAAGAATTACATAAAATTAATACAATAATACTATACTTCATCTAAATTGTAATCAATCTAAAATATAAGATCATTTATAAATTACATTTAATAAAAATATTTACATAATTTCTATTATTAAATATTGCTAAAAATTGATTTTATTGTTTAAGAATTACATAAAATTAATACAATAATACTATATTTCATCTAAATTGTAATCAATCTAAAATATAACATCATTTATAAATTACATTTAATAAAAATATTTACATAATTTCTATTATTAAATATTGCTAAAAATTCATTATATTGTTTAAAAATTACATAAAATTATTGTGATTATATCTTAATAAGACAGATAATGTAAATAAATTTACCTGTAAGTTGGCTAGTCTTCCTTGTTGATTTACAATATTCATATACCCTAAATAGCCTAATTACAATTATAATATTAATTCATTAAATTTTTATATACTTCTAAATAATTATCAATATTAAATGATTCTCCTATATTAATTTTTTTGGATTTATATTTTCGCACCATATCGAATAATGTAATAATTGCTAAAAAAAATTATTGAAATGGATTGACATGTATGGTTTAGCAAGCACCGCTAGCTCTAAATTTACTAATCGTGATTGAAATACTATATAGACATAATAAATATTCATAAAACTTTCCCAAATTATAGAAGAGTGTTTAAACTTTGCTATAAAATTTAATTTATATATAAATGAATATATATTTTAATAAAAATTAAAATTCTGTCATGTAAAAATCTTTAGAAAATTTCATCAAAATTTTATTTCTTAAATAAAATTTTTAATAATTAATCATTTCAAAAGATTTTTTGTCTATAGATGTAAACTAATAAAATCTATATTAAGATAAAATTTTAACCTTCTAGTGTTTATAATTTTAAAATAATATTAAATGGTTTGCCAAGCCTCACGGTTTACCTAACCTAAGTCTCCCCTACTTTAGCTTTTATAAACTAGTTTAGCATTTTCTAACAAGAGTCATAAATGATTTTGAAATGGAAATAGAAGAAAATTTGAAAAGGAAATGAATGTGATATAGCATTCTATAGAATCCCGGGGAAAAAGTTATGGAAAAAGTCGACCGAAAAAACTGTGGGGGAAAAATGACGGAAAAAAAAATCTGTGAGATAAAAAATAAAAATATGTGGAAATCTTAATTTAAATACTAATGGGAGAACAATTATACTCAACAATTATTTTGGAATAATTTTTATATTTTGATTGTATATTATAATAAAAGCTAAATTGTGTTGATTTCAATTTTTTACATAATTTTAATTTAAAATTGATTGAGATAAATTAATATGTCAAATATCTTACATCATGCATAATATTTATAGTTTTTATAGCTTTCCCTGATGGGGTTTTATCATTTGTGCCCGACCCTGCCCGTATTCATTGCAAAAAAATATTATTTCGGCTCTGCTAGGGTTGATTAAAATTTTTTCTTATGCTTGGTCTGGACTGTTAAAGATTTTTTTGGGCCATGTGCTTTTTATTTAAAATTCCAGCCCATGTGACCAGGCCGGGCTTTAATCTGGGGCTGCAAATCTCAAGGTTAATATATATTAAAAGTGGGTGTTGTTAGATTATATTTTATAAATATATAATTGCTCTATAAGTGTACCTGGGTTTGGGCCCAGCATGTATCTAAAGCCTCGTCCATTTTAAATTATAAAGGCCTTGGAGAAGGGTCAAAAGTTTTTGGAATATCTTTAGGGGAGGAGAGAGTAATGATGTATGAACTAAAATATCTAAAAAATATAATCTAAAAAATATTTATTGTTTAAATTATAACATAGTAAGAAAGATTTTAAAAAAATATTGTTGATTCTCTTTAATCGTAATTTGATAAAGCTCTAACCAAGTATATTTAGTATATTTTCATTTTTGAGAACTTTTTATTTATTTAGTCTTTATAAACTCAAATTATTTCCAGGCAAACTCTTAAGATTAGCGTACTTCGCTGGGCTTTCAGACGGGCTCGGCCGGGTGTAAAATCTTTACTTTTAATGGAATAAAAAATAATTAATATAAATTAAATACAATATTTAACGTAAACGGAAAATTTCAATTTAGATAAAGATTAGTAGATTCATTAATATTTATACATAGTGATTGAAAAAATTAATTGGCCCAATTTAAAAAAAAATTATAGTCAGTTAGGGGTGGGGGTGGGGGAGCTCCAAAACTATTCCCACAACCTGTTATCATAATATAATAATTTTTAATGTTTTATCATAAAAGTTAGAGTTGAGGGGCGTTAAATTCTAATTCAGATAAAAAAAAACAGTTTTAATTTTACTCCTGAATCTGAAGCCTTCGTTAAAAAATCATTTTAAACTATAAAAGTTTATATTATGCTGATTATAATAAAATTTTTAATTATATAAATGTAATAACCAAAAGGAAATCTTAACAATCAAATGAATGCGTTTGTGATTCGGAATTAAAAATTAAAACATATGTGCAAAATTAAAGTTAATTTTAAAAATTTAGCAATAAATTTACTTTTATCTAAATTCTCGTTATAGAAACTTAGAGACTCATTAACATCATACAATCTTTCTATGGTTTTTGAGTTGCCTTTATTTATAGAAATATGATTTATTTCTTCTGGTTTCAGAATTTTTTTATATTAAGCTCCTCCCAGTGGCTTATATTGCTAATAATTTTATTTAAAAACGGTTTCAATTTAGAAATAGAATAATTCATATTGAAATAAATTTCTACAAAAGTGAAAATCACCATTTTTTAGTTTTGGCGGATAAGAGTTCGGATGTTGGTAACATAAAGCATTTTTCCATAGCAATAAGGTTTATTGATATGGAATCAGGAGATTTCAAAATGAAGAAACTCTTTATTCAACATATTGCCTTACATGACACTAATTCAGAGACGATAATCAAAGAAATTATAGCATGATCCCTTCAAGACCTAAATTTGAATTTAAATCTAACAAGAGGCCAAGGTTTTGATGGAGCCAACTCGGTCAAGAATTAGAGAGCTTTATATCACAATCTCTATGTTCACCGCAGTTCACATTGTCTAAATTTGATGATATCTGAAGCATGCGAAGTCCGAAACATCCGGAACAATTTACGTAAAATTTAATTTAATTGGAATTTATTAGATTTTATAATGTATTGTAGATATCTTTATATAATTTTAATATATTTTTCAAAATTTAGAAACAATCGTCTGTTTGTAACTTTTTTACACTACCCAAGAAGAGATAGCTTTTTATCCGAACGTTTGATGACATTGATTCAAATAATCAAAAAAAACTAAAAAGATTTTGTCCAACTAGATTTATAGAAAGACAACAGTCAGTGAAACTTTATCGAATTATGTGAAGTTATTTTTGCAACGCTCGAATCCTACAAGCAAAAAAAAAGATTCCACAAATGCTAAAAAACTTTTGCAGGCTATTACGAAGCCACAATTTTTAATATCAATTAAATGCGTTTATTTTTTATTTAATTAAACATAAGATTTTAGCAAAATGCTACAAAAAATTAATTTAAGGGATAGAAAGGATAATGTTGAAATATTAACAAATATCAGATATAATGTGGATGAAAAATTTCATGAATTATACGAGAAAGTAATAATAGTGCGCACATATTGAGCGTTTCAAGCGTCAATAATGCATTTCAAATGACCTCGTGCAAATTGGTAAAATATAGGTTTGCTTTTTCATTACTTTTTATTATTATTCGCTATGTAATATTATATAAAATGTAATATAAATATCTTACTTATATCCTAAAAAGGAATATTTAGAAATTAAAGAAATAAGAACAGACTATAATATAATTCTCAAAAGACAAATCCTTTTTTTTAAAGAACTTATTTAAAATTTTGCGTTTGAAACGCTCAATTTGTGCGCACTATAAAGGAGATCGCTAATATGTATGGGATTATAATTTTTAAATCTAGAATAGTTTCTAGACAATCCAATCGCTTAAATATGGATGTATCTACGATTGAGGATTTTTATAAAATAAATATTTTTATTCCCCTTATTGATACATTTTTATTTCAATTAAAAGAAAGATTTATTAGTCATAATTTTATTAAAAAGGTTTTATTTTCTTTTGCCGGCTGAGTCTGAATTGTTGATTACACTATAAACGCGAGAGGATATTAAGAAAATCTCAGAGTTATGCTCTAATGATTTAGTAGGATAGTATGATAAGTTACTTTGTGATGTCGAATTTTGGTATAAAAATCTTGACAGAATAGAGTACTCTTTGAGACCAAAAAATGCTTTGCAGGCCCTTTCCATGTGTAATTGCACTTTAGATTCCCTACCCAATATCAAAACATTGTTTTTTATTTTAGCTACTTTACCGATTAGTACCTGTACTAATAAAAGGTCTTTTTCAACTTTGAAAAGGTTAAAAATCTATTTAAGAAATAGCACCGGTGAAAAACGTTTAAATAGATTGGCCCTATTAAATATTTATTAGGAGATTATTCTAGATAAAAATTTGATTCTAGATGAATTAGCCAAAGAAATATTTACATTTTGATAATATAGTCATTTGTATTAATTATAATTGTTAAATTATATATTTTAAATACCGCTATTTGCAACAAGAATTATTTATATATATATTTTTTTAAATACCGCTATTTGCAACAAGAATTATTTATATATATATTTTGATATCGCCGCGCAACACAAGCTACTAATCATGGATTTACAAATCTCAAATAAATCCACTCAAAATAAGATAAAACTGGAACCATGCATCAAATGGGGCAAATTAAAAACAATGACAGATGCCTTTGCAATCAATGCAAACATTGAAACAATAAATTGCTCACAAGTCAGTGAAAAAATATGGACAGACCTTTCATCCAGATTAATAGACACTGCAAAATCGACGCTAGGCTTGACAAGAGGAGGCAACAAATCACACAAAGAACTATGGTGGTGGAATCAAGAGGTACAAACCACTATACAGGAGAAAAAAGCCCTTTATAAAATATGGTACAAATCCAAAAATGCAGATGACAAGTCAAGATACAAAAAATCCAAGAGATTAGCTACAAAGGCGGTGGCTAGGGCCAAATCTATGGCATACGATGACATGTACGAAGATCTACATACCAAAGAAGGGCAAAATAAAATATACAGATTAGCCAAACAGCGAGAAAAGAACTCTAGGGATATAAACGGAGCTCCGAAAGTAATCAAAAATAAAGATGGGAAATTGATAATAAAGGAAAAAGAAATAATGAATAGATGGAAAGAATATTTTCAGGAGCTTCTCAACTTTAATTCCCACATATTGCATCTCGACGAACACTCCCCTTGTCAGAACCTTGTACAACCTATAACAGAACAAGAAATAATCACATGCCTCAAGCATATGAAAAACAACAAAGCTAGGGGTCCAGACGATATTCCAATAGAAAGCCTTAAAGCACTAGGAGATGATGGAATACATCTCCTCACAAATCTGTACAATAAAATACTTGGAAATGAAGAGGTCCCCCAAAAATGGAGGCAGAGCTATCTAGTTCCTATCTTCAAAAATAAAGGGGATCCACACAATTGTCAAAATTACAGGGGCATAAAACTAATGTCACACTGTCTAAAACTATACGAAAAAATAATAGAAAAAAGATTAAGAGATATAATCGAAATAGGAGAGACACAGTTTGGCTTTATGCCTGGAAGATCAACAACCGATGCTATCCATGCAATTAGGCAAATGAGTGAAAAATACAGGGAAAAGAACAAAAAGCTACACATGGTCTTTCTCGATCTAGAAAAGGCCTTTGATAGAATCCCAAGAAAACTTATCTGGTGGGCGCTACGCCACAAAAAAGTTCCCGAAAAATATATAAGAATAATAGAGGATATGTATATGGGACATACAACAATGGTCCGTAGCACAACAGGTACTTCAGCAGGCTTTACAATAGCCGAAGGAGTTCATCAAGGGTCGGCTCTCAGCCCACTTCTCTTCATTACAGTAATAGATGTATTAGCACAGTCTATACCTCAAACAGTCCCGTGGAATATGATATTTGCAGATGATATTGTGATACTTGCCGAATCCAAGGATGAAATGAAAGAAAGGTTAGTGAATTGGATAAATATCCTAGAAACGCACGGATTAAAAGTAAATAGAGAAAAGACGGAGTATATGGTGATAGGAGGAGATGAAACGGAGAGTATTGATATAAATGATTGGCAGATATCCGCAATTGAAAGCTGCAAATATTTGGGCTCCACTATACAAACAAACGGCACAATAGAAAAAGAGATAAAGAATAAGATTAATCAAGGGTGGTTAAAGTGGAGATCTTTATCTGGAATGCTATTTGACAAAAGAATCCCACACAAATTAAAGGGAAAAATTTACAGTTCCATAGTACAACCAACTATTCTATATAGTTCGGAAACATGGCCAACCAAAGAATCAGACGAGAGAAGTCTACAAACTATGGAGATGAGAATGCTGAGGATGATTGCTGGGGTAACAAGAAAGGATAAGGTGCGCAGTACAAGAATACTAAATAGTTTAAAGGTAGTGCCCATTAAGACTAAGTTAATGGTAAACAGACTTAGGTGGTATGGGCACACAATGAGAAGGCCTATGAACTACATAGGAAATAAAGTTGAAAGATTGGAAGTGATGGGCAAACGTAAAAGAGGAAGGCCAAAACTTCAATGGGGCCATAAAGTTAGAGCCAATATAAAGAAGTATAAAATAGATAAAAGAGATTGTACGAATAACATAAAGTGGAGAGAGATGTTGAAGGAGCTTACCACCAGAAAAGGTGAAAGCTAAAGAGAAAAAAAAAAAAATATTTTTTTTTTAAAATACAGTTATTTACAATAAATTTTTAATATAAATAATCTGTATAAAATTTCTACATTTCGAAATTTATTTTATTATATCTTATCATTAAAATAAATACATAGTTAAATAAAGGGATGTTATTTATACTAAAGTATTTTAATAATAAATGTAGTCTATTATCTATAATGAAATTCTTCATAAAATCTTGTTATGCAAAAGTTTAATTAAAATAATTATTTTTAATATATAATAAGATATATTGAGTGATCATAAAAAATGGGAGTTTGGGGGGCAAATTTTTTTTCTAAACCAAATGGATTAAATTAATTTACAATTGAACCATTGATAAAATTTTCACAATGCTTTCAGTCACCTATTAATCATAAATTTGACCAAAAATTTGTTACTAATATTTTTTTCACTTATACTGGTATAGTGGTTAGGCACTAATAAAATATAAAATATTGGCAAATTTTAGAATTAGTATTTCCAATTGTTCAGCCAACTTTAAAAAAGATGATATAAAGGAACTACTAAAAAATTAATATTATATAGTATTTTTTAGGGACCCGGTCGAAGGCCGGAGAAAATGCACACCCCCATGGATACTACGGACTCCTCCAGTAGGCTCACTAACGAATTATTCAAACTTTTACGAACATGGATAATAAAAATAATTATTCTTAATAGAAAATTTGATATTCTGTTAGTAAGATAGTATAGTAATTTTTATGGTAGAAGTGAATTGGAGAATTAAAAATATGAAAAAATAAATGAGTCATTATAATATTATATTTATAAAGTTAATATATTTTTAAACGTCCCGGAGATTGTTTGTGAAATCATCGTTACATAATTTTTCTCAAATTCATGTCCCAAATTTCTAGTTTTAAAAGTCATTGATTTCTATTTCGTTTTACTTTTAAAAAGATCAAATAATGCCCAATTTGCATATTTGCAAGCAATATTTCATTTATCAATCGCGAAATTCCTAGCAGATGATTAATTGGTTTTCCCCCAAATAATTTAATTTAAAAAAAATCCATTATAATTTTTTTTATGTAGTTTATCTTTTTTTTTGAATGTCTGGTCTATTTTTTAAAATAATGTCTTTTTTGATTTATTTATCTTTAATTTATTATGGTGTCTGGTGTGTACTTTTATAATTTAATAACCATCTTATGTAAATCTCATGAAAACTTTTATCAGCGAAGAACGGATTCTGTAATCGCCGAAGAAATGCGTTATCACTGAATTTTTAACGCAAGCTGTGTAAATTTTAACAAGCAGGAATTTTGGTGTTTAAATTAGACAGATATTTATATTCCCTTTTGTATTATACATTATTTTTATTGTTTATACTCAGACTAGGTTTTAAAAAAATATATAGATTCTTCACACCAAATTTCGCCAAGTCTAAAAGACTTAAAATAAAAATAACGTTTATGATATTGTTTGAAAGATTTAATAAATAATGAATGAAATTTAAAAAAAAGATAATTTTTTCTTTTATTTAAAATTATATATTCGGTAGATAAATAAAAATGAAATGTAAAATTAATGAATATTTAATTATATCGCTTTTGAAATTAAATTTTATTATGAATTGGACATTCTTGTTTGTTATTATAATATACCAATTTTCCTTTTAAAACCTCCACTTCCAAAAGCGAAATTTTTAAATCGTGACCTAATTTATGAGAATATAAATAGAATATCATTTCTGGAAATCCAATTTTTGTAGCAAGTAAATTTTTTTTATATCTTATTGAATCAATCAACATGCTATCAGGTTTAAGTGTCGAGAATGTTCAAAAAAATTGATGAAAAAGTAAGGAAATATTTTGTAATCCAACTAATGTCCCCTTAGACTTTCTCAGTGTTAGAGAGCCCTGCCAGAATTATATTTAAAAATCGCTTACCAGGAATAAATAAATTTTCCTAAATTAAATCTGATACCACAAAAAATTTCTTAATTGTCATAATTCCTTCTCATTTTTTAAAAAAAAATCTTTAAATTAGCTAAATTGTTTCCTTTAGAAATGTTTGGTTCTAATTCATAAATTGATCAAACTTATTTTAATAAAACATAAATCAGTTAAACACAGGAATAACCAGAATTTTTCAAAGGTGGCTAAAGTTGATTGAACAATTTGAATCACTAATTCTAAAATCTATGCCAATTTTTATGCTTTAATAGTTCCTATATGTTTTAACCAATATTACCAAATATATAGGGAAAAATTATTATTAAAAATTTTGGCCAACTTTAAGATTAAACAGAACTAAAAGCATTTATTTTATTAGTGTAAAAAAAAGTTGGTAAAATAGGAAAAAGTTGTCAAAATTTGCACCAAGTCAGAATGGAAAAAATAAAAGACGAAACTTTTTATTCCTTAATTAATTTTTTTTTCGTGAACTACAAAAAGGAAAAAAATAGAGTTATAAACAAAATAGAAACTATACGACGTGATTTAAAGTGAGTAAACTTTTGGAAAAATGAATTTTGAACCAAACAGTACAGGGGGTAGCGGCTTCCATTGAAATATTCTGCAAAATAGATATTTTAAAAAATTTACACCCGATAGAAATTTGTACAAGTTACCGCCTCTGGTACATTGCATTAGTTAAATTTGATTGGTAGATAATTTAAAGATGAAAGATGTTATATGCAAATTTTAAAAAAATTAGCCTCATGCCAGAAGGGAGATTATAACAGTTCTAAATATCTAATTATAATTTTTGAATCAATTTCGTCGATCACAAAAAATTAACCGAAACCGAATTATAAACCAAATAGAAACTATGAGTGAACTTAGCCATTACTTGAGGCATTGATTCTGAAGTTTATATCAATAATTAGTAGAACGCAAATAAAAAAAAATTATCAAGATACATTATGCCATTACAAAATTATAAAAGCAATGAATATTTGAGTGCGCCAATATTTCTAATTCATCCATTAATTTTCCAATAAATACACAAAAACAAATTATAATCAAAATAAACCATATAAGGTCATGCCTCAAAAATTTGATTTGTAACTAAATCTCATATTAAGGCATAGCCTTAAACTTGAAGTTTGCCAAGCATTTGATAGGATTAATTCTCTAAAACTTTTCGATAAAATTTGGTCCAAAATTCCAATTTCAAATCTTTTATATAGGTAATTGTTTTGTGATTTTATGCATAAAAGTCTCGCATGATGAAATCACAAATTTAAAAAAAAGGATCTTTATCATTTTTTCTAAAAAATCTTCAATATTGCTCGAAATTCTTTAATCATGATTTTTGTTAAACCCTGAAATTTCATGATTTCGTTTTGATTATCATTCTTTTTCGTCTCTTACTTTTTGTCTTTATCATTTAAACATTTAAATTATTAAGTACATTAACTTATTATATAAATATTTCATATCGCCCGAGAATTACGATTGAGTTATATTTCCATACATTCTTAGCAGTTTAAGCCGGCTTTTAGCTGCCTAGGAAACGGTGAAATATATTTTTAGTTAGAAAAACTATCATATAAAGATAGTGCCAAAATTCGGCCAAAAGGGAATATGGCAGTGGGATGAGACTCCCATAAACTTTGCGCCTTTATACTTTGAGTATATTTTATTTCATTCTGTTTTCAATTCTATATATATTAATTTTTGATTCTGGCCCCTTATTTGCCTTTGTGCTGCCCTTAAGATAGTAATCCTTAGAGAAAACTTTGTCTAAAATAATTGTCAATGTATTCCATTGAATATATTTCCTATAGATTTTCCAGCAAAAGCATTGAAATAGCATTTTACCATTCCCTGATTGTAATTATGATAGAAATTTGTAAAAAATATCAATCATTTAGTTTGCCTTTAGATATTATATATTATATTATACTTTATTTTTAAAATAAAGGGTAATGGTAACACGTTACTACATAGCATGTTAGTTTTTAAAGTAACGTTTACAGAACTGATTATTAGATAATATAAAATATATTTGAAATTCAACATATATGTTTCAACCGCTTTAACTAAAATTAAAAAAAAAATTTAATTAAAAAGTTTATTCGTCAGCACGGTCTTCTATTATTAAAAAATATGCTTTTAATTTCATATATTTTCTCTCAAACTAAACTAATAAATCAAATTTTTAAAAAATAAAATTGGTTTAAAAATATATCAACATTTTTTTTGCTTTTCTGTTTCATATTTATTATATTAATATCAATATAAAGTTTGTAACATTTATTCAAAAGAATTATGTCAAATAATTAATTTAAAAAGTGATAATTAGACAAATAAAGCTAAACCTCTGTCCCATCTCAGGACATGAGGTGTTGCGAAGACGGCATAACTAAAAGGAATGCACCCCAAAGACATGCAAGGGCCCAAATCTACTCAAAAACTTAAACGTTTTCTCGAGAACTGATATTGAACCTTGGTAATGAATAGAAAAAATGTTGTGTAGTAGAAAAATTGTTGCACTCAGACAGTAATAAGGCTTTTTGTGGCCCAGGGTTTGAGTAAATTCGCGACCCTTTAAAATCCTCTAATCTACCTAAGCGTTACCATTGTCATAAAATAACAAACTAGGTTTGTCACTTTTAAAATGAGATTTGTGAATAAACAGCTTAGAATATGAATTAGATCATATGTATATAATATATTATAGTAAAATGACTGAAATTAAACATAATGTAATATTTTTAAAATTACAATTCACCTAATATTTAAGAAACCAAATTTGGCTGCCCAAAATAGTTTAATCTTGGCAGCCCAGAATCTCTGCTCTCCTGCGTTTGCATTTGTCGAAATATTTAAGAATATCATAAAATTTAATTTGGGACAATAAACATAGACGTAGCGGGATGGGGGGAAATATTCCTATTCTTGTGAATATCATTTTAAGTTAAGAAAGATTTTCCCCCTACACATCCCAACTCCCTCTCCCTCAAATATATATACAATATTACACTAAAAGCAAGAATATAAAACAAAAATTAGTAAAAGTTAATTGTTTTTTAAATATAGGTTATAATTCAAGATTTTTAGAAAAAAAACATATTTATAAAAAAAGTGTGTTGAGAATTTTTGCACGAGGTGCCCTGCCCGGCCCTAATTTTTTTTGTCAGGCCTATAACTCCAGTGAAAACCCCAAATTAAAGACCTCTAATAAAAATTTAGGGAGGGAAGCCTATATAATGATACCCCCCCCCCCCTTAGCAAATTCCTATCTACGCCTTTGCAATAAGTCATTTGACTGACATCATTAACTCTAATTCACTAATCTTATGTTATAATAACATTAATACTTAACATGGGTCTAAAGACCCATATTTCATTTATTAATTTTCAAATTCAAATGAATAATTGGGCTTAATGCTTTTATTTGATAATCATATAAAATATAATTATATAAAATAACAAAAAATTATTAAAATATAACTCATAATATTAAAATTTGCAAAACAAATTGTTTGATTTTCTTTGATTAGGGGTTTTATGTAAGATTGACAATTGAGGGAACCTGATTTTTCAAGTGTTCTTTTATAGTAATCTGTTGCAGTGCATTGGTTATCTTTAATTACAAAAACTTCGTTTCAAAGTCATGCATTTTCTGCAATCTAACCTAGGTTGAGTCAATTTTATAATAAGCCAAAAATATGTCATTAAAATTGATTCTGACCCTATTTAAGCTATTGTTTATATATATATTATAAGCATTTCGTAAGTATTATTTATTAATAAAAAAACTCATAAGTGCCATTATGCTTTCCTATGCGTTCATATTGTGTAATAAATTTGGGCTATCTACTGCACTCTTAGTTGAATTATAAGATATTTGAGGCAGAATTCCATCATAGTTCATCATGGGTTATGACAATACTAGGACATCTTTCTTTTGATGGATAGCAAACTGATTTTACCTTTAAATACTCCCTTTAGGCCTTGTGCAAGATGAATTATATTTTTACTTGATTTTTTCGAAATGAAGAAAGACCAGCTCACCAATTAGGGTCATTTTTTACTTTAACTATTTCAGTAGGCAAGGTTATAATCATATCCTAATTTTAACTAAAATCATTTTCCTTTATATCAAATTCTAAAAAGAAATCCCGCTTCACTAATAGAATATTAATCAGAATCGTCATCAATAGAATTTCGTTAAAAATATTTTGATAAATATACAATTTTTTTTATAAAAATCAAAAAAAAATAACTTTGCTACTAAACATGTTCATCAGACCCAAAAATTATTTTTATTTATAAAACTGAAATTTAAAAAAATAATTATGACCATCTTTAGTTCTTTAACGGCTAGTGAGCTAATTTGACATCATTAACTTTCATGTTATTATAACCATTATGAACCAATGTAATTATATGATAAAGTCAATCGTATTTGAATAATTCTCAGTAGTCTACATTTGCTTTTTGCTTGTATTCTATTATGTTTTAACTTTTTGCCATTTTTGTGATCCGATTTTGGCCAAAATGTAAACGTTTTTTCTTTTAGTTTTTATGATATAAATCTATTAAAAGTGAATTGCACATAAAATCTGATAATATTTATTATAATATTAGCATTTTTATCAGAGACCTGAGAAGTACTATTTACATGGTTCGACCCAGATTTTTTTTTTAAAATTATTTTCGGCCGTCCGGGTTTTATATTTTAAGGCCTGGCCCAATTTTTTTAAAATATATTATATTTATTTTTAATTTTTATAGATAATGACAATTTAAAATATTTGGT